CGTTTGCACACTGGCTCCTTGAACACAAGAAGTGGGACTGTATGCAGGGAGACCAAAAACCAGATTTCTCACCATGGTCACAGATAATGCGGAGTTCATGGAAATACTGACTTCTCACTGCACTTGCAAAAGCTCCTCTCTGGCAAATAGAGGACTGTTCACAACTGGCATCAATATAAACAGAATACACAAGCTTCAAAAGCACTGGAAGGATGACTTGACAATACATAGGAAACTCGAGCATCCAAAAGCAGACTTCTGAAATGCACAAGTACATATCTTTTCTACTTTCTTTTTACCCCCATATCTATAAACATGGACACTGCAAGTAGGGTCATTATACTGACCTGCACCTCATCCCTATAAAAAGCTGAATGCACTTCGTGGAAATGCTCCGTCCTGCAGGAGATTCAGATTTATGTTTGCCAAAAGTGTCATGGGCTCTGCTGACCTGACTTGTCGCAAGTTCTTCATTTCTTCACCAGATGGAGGGAAAGCAAATGTGGTGGTCAAACGGGAGAGGAGAAAGAGTGAGTTGAGCTAATCTTAAGCAGTCCATGCTGGGGAAAGTTGTTCAGGGATTTTTTACCATAATTTCTGTTCCTTGCATTAAGAATGGTATTCCCAAGAAAAAAAGTTTTCTCCCTTTGCAATGTGTAGTATCTTTTATTTATCTTTTATTAAGAGGTGATGGGGATAGACTTGTCCTTGTATGCACATATTGATGTACGATCACTAACCCATTCTGAGAGTTGATTGACTATTTTAAGTCTGCAGCAAAGCAAAGGCAAGTTCTGTAAGTCTCTACACCCAACTTATTCCCAGAACCAATTTTACTTCATTGTTTTAAAGAAATATAGCACCACTTCAAAAGCATTACAAAATCAAACCAGTTTGCCATTCTTTAGAAAGCAAATTCTTGTTAACATTCAAAGTTTCTCACCACAGTAGCTTCCGTTTCTGCATCTGCGATGTTAATTTTTGAAGATGCCAGCACAAAAGCATTCTGCATTCACTGACTATTTTTACCGTGATTACAAAGCATCACACTAGCTATTTTTACTGGGTTTCTTAAGTTTCTTAAAGAACTCTACGACACAGCTGACAATACAACAAAGTTTTGCGAAATATTTGCACAGAGTTTACCTTAAGGCTTTCTTATGATGTGTAAAATATTTAAACTGAAAATACATCTTCCCTCTCTCAAACATGCATTTATACAAAGTTCCTTCTTTCCGTCTGTTAAAATTTAATATAATTTCAAAAATACTTATCTCTGATCATGCTCAAAAGATTGAGAGCAACCAAAAGTCAGATCACAGCAGTCTTACAAGACACCTTGGAATAGTAGCTACTTATCTGGTAAAACTTCACCTTTTAGCTATGTTCATCTTTCATAACAGGACGTTTTTAATATATTGAAACTACAAAGTAAAGATAAGCCGGTTAGTAACAGACTACTAAACTTCACCTTAAAAGAATCCATTCTCACTAGAGAAAACGTTTCTAACCAATACAGTTTGCAATTAGAAATCATGAGTAGCTAAAGGAAAAGTTGCGGCTTTTAATTTATTCAGCTTCGTGCTACTTTGATGTACGGAGAGCTTGATTCTTGGCAACTGTCAACACACCAGGGTTTAACTGAGCACCAGAAGCACAGACAATTAGTTCTCAAAATTATTAAACACAACTAAACCTAATTGCACTGACAGGCATACTCAATCCCCAGATTTTCTGAGGGCCTCTATTCGTCTGTAAACTGCACGCCTACATACTCCAGAACCAACAATTGCAAGGACGACATGCCACTGCCAGATAAACAGTATTTTAACACAGTTTGAAAAGGTACTGCAGCAGAATGTGTTAGAAGTATAACATCTATCCTTGTTAAAAAACAAGCAAACAAAAAAAAAACAACCAGAAAATAAAATTAAAGATATTAAAGGTATAGATGGGGCATTTCAGCAAACACAGAGCTGACACAACTAATGAGCATCTGGAATGGATGGTTCTTGATGTCCATGTGTTTTTAATAATATTTTATAACTTATGGAACAGCTTCCATTTCAGGAATGAAACAATCCTCTGTTGCCCTTCTAATTAATTTGTTAGCTCTCAGGTGAAGGACGAATATACAGCTATTCTAAATTCATTCATTTCTCGGACTGCAAGAAATGAATGAATGAACGAATGCATGTTTGAACGTAGTACACATGCAACAAAAGACTCATTCCTTTGAGGTTACAAGGCACTTCTGAAATGCCTCTCTGTACTTTTGGTTAAGATGATGCCTAACCTTAGCTTGGTATGAGATGAAGAAAATAATAGTGAAAAACAAGCAAACAAAAATGCTCCAAACGAGAAACACAAAATCTAGAAATCAGACATGCAGCCATTAAATCCAAAGCTTTAAGACTGTTTTTTGTTTACTTACATGTTACGGGACAAAAATGAACCAAACTTCAAAGGAGTCTGCTCCCTCAGAGCCGAGTAATTACATCTATAGTTGCCGTCAGCTGGGAAGTGAGCATCTCTAGCTGCCTCTCCCCTGAAATGATCCCAAACTGCCTGCTGTTCCAGGCTGTGCTCAGAACCTCTCAGAGCCACCGACGTCTTCTCCACAGAGCAGTGCTTACAGATCTCCTCGCCCCCACACCTTGGCGACATCGCCCAGTGCTGAGGTGTCTGCACTACTGCTCTCCCACAGGCGTGGGTCAAGCTAGCACATGCAGGAAACAGAAGGCAAAGGGGAAAAAAACACCCCAAACCCAAATCCAGATGCTGTGCTTTTCGAGGCTGCACAATTTCCTCAAACTAGCTTTTATTAGCAATAGCTATTGTTCATCTGGCGAGCAGTCCCAAATCACAGCTCTAAAAACAGAAATCACTTTAATTCCTTTTATACCGAATCACAAAAGCACATACAATGTACACCACCTAAATTTACCGTGAGGTTTGTGGTTTTTTTAATTCTACATCTATTGGAGACATCAAAAGGGTCAGACAAAAAGCTCTGACAGTAATAGGCACCCTCCACCAGAAAGACAGCAATCAATTACAAACCATTTGCAGAAATTGTAGAGCTATCACAGACCCGTTTACAGCTGCAGTTCAAGCCAGACCGCCTCTGATTGCCAAACCATTTTCCCCCCTTACACCTACAAAACTAGGACAGCTCCAGACAATTTTTAAAATGACACTAGCAGACCTGCGTGCCAGCCCTAGAAGTGAACTGCTATCTGGCGCGGGCAGTTACCCACAAGCCATTAACGCTGCTAGACCGGGCAGACTTGAGGCTGGAGAGGGGGCAGGGAGCAGACCTGTGTTTTCCACTTTTTTTTGAGCTTTAATTGCAGCACGTAATTTAGAGCATTGGAGCAAATTCAATGCATTCAGAGCAACAACTAGCGTACAGCAATTGTCCTCTGTGTATTTAAATCCTTCTGAACTCTCCCTAATTTTCTGTCATCTGGTGCACTGGACACAGGCGATCAGGACTAGCTTTGTTTTTCTGCTGAAGCAAAGCCGACGCCTCAGAATCCCATCCCCTCCCCTGCAGCAGGACTGTGTACCCCGGACGAGCAGGACACCCTGAGGTGCCTGGGGGAGCCCGGCCATGCACCAGCCTGCTCGCACAGCCAGGGCATCCTAACCCTCTGGGTCACCTCTGCTGTGCCCCCACAAAGACCCCTGCCCCTAAAACACTGCAGCAGCCCTAAGACAAGATGGCGGAGAAATCCACATTACCCCTTCCAAAGGAACCATGTGTCCTAGGGGGAGAAAAATCCATTTTATTCTTGTTTGGTTGCAAAGACTTTTTTGGAGCATGAGCAATGTGTTCCACAGGATACAGATTATCGCTGGGGGAATGCCCTGTGCAGCAGGAGATGGGCTAAAGACCCACAGTCACTGGGCTTCTCCTTACTCTCTACAGAAACCGCATAAAGTCACCGATATTAGACTGAAGTAGATTACAAATTCCAAAAGTAAGAGAGGATCAGCTCCTCTCAGTAGGTATGGCACAATATATCTTACCTGTTCTGATCTTCTGAGTTTTTTATGTTCTGCCTTATCTCTACCAATTTTTCATAAACCGACATACAAGACAGTAATATATTCCAGAACAAAAAAATCTCTCAACTTCATTTCTGTTATGCAAGAATGTAATGCAAAAGTTATCACAAATTTGCTTGGAGATACAACCAACTCATCAACAGAAGTAACAAAAACACTTCTGTTGTCAGAATGGCAATAACTAGTAAAATCATGGCCACCAACACAAAAACACTACCCATGCTAGCAGTTGGGAGGTTCAAAACAGCATACACTTGGGTTGGACACAGGCTGCAATTTGACTGACTCAGAGAAAAATGATGAAAAATTGCTCTTCGAAGACCAATGCTTTCGAAGGTGGACACTTATTCTGGGGGTCCCTGCCTCAGCCTCCAAAGTCCTGACTAAGAGGAGGTCTGAGCATCCATTACTCCAGCTGAAGTCAAACAGTAACTGCAGACATATAAAGGGTCTCCAAATCAGAGAGTAGGAATCACTGGCTCTCAAATACTGCACATCTCCAAGTCCAGTCTAAAACTACTGACGTTAAGTGAGTGTTGCTATGGTCACTGCAATCTTAACAACAAGCCCTAGAAGTACCAGCAAAGAGAGAACATGAGCCAAACTGAATCAGCTGGAAAGCTGTAGCAGCTTTCCTGTTCTCTGCAGACCTGGGTTCAGGCAACATAGAAAGACGAATCTGATAGGTCTCCACCTGTTTGCTGTTTGCCCCCACCACACTGCTTTTGAAGATGCAGCAGCTGTGCCGTAGATGCTGACCTGTCAGGGTGACCTCCAGATAATAAAACACTAAGTACAGCTAATATGCATAAAAATTTTTTCAAATTAGTGGCATATGTTAAATTCTTTCCCACAAAATGCAGAGCATTAACACTACAGCACTGTCTTTTTGTTCACAAGGATTGTTATGTCAAGCACGTTCTTACCCTGAAAGGTGGATCAGCCTTCTCCCTGTGTGGCACTTGGTCCAGAGTGCCATCAGTACTGCTCCTTTTCAAGCTGGATGTGACATCAGGCACGTTACTAAAATCTGCATTCAAAAGAAAACACAGAAATAAATAAACTATAAGGTTATAGGACAGGAACAGGAAAAGTATTTGCTTTTGTCTGCAAATACTGGCATTGTCTAGTAGAATGACTACAGGGGGAGAGAAGGAATACCAAATTTGCAATCCTCTCCACCCCCCAGAAAATAACACAAGAGGTCAAAGCAAGGAGCAACTATGCCTGGAAACTCTGCTTTCAAAACAGCAGCTGGACATCCAGGACTGTCTGAAGCAACACGCATATTTGATCTACAAAAATAAACCTAACGCTCCTGCTAACAGCGTGCTTTCAAAGGTAGCATTATCTATAATCAGCACACTCTGTGCTGAGACAGCCAGTGAGGATAATTAAAGGCGCTCAGTAGTTCTCCCTGGATGAGCACACTATTGTTCGACACGACTTAGTCCCGAATCCCTTAAAGATTTAAGAGTTTTGCCTTGGAACAAACACCACAGCTCATAACACGGACAAAATCCCTTCTTTGTTACCGATAGTTTACCAGTTTTACTAAGTTTGGAGCCCATGTACATAGCAGCTGGCACAACGCAAAAACCAGTGGAGGCACTGCCCTGCTTTACTTATTGATAGACTGGAGCTTTCAATAACATTTATGTGTAAACTCAAGATCTGTCCAACAATGCTGAACATTCATATAAAAATGATGGGTTTTTCTCTTCACACTTCCTCAATTGAATGCTTAAAATCTGCAGAGACGTTTACACAGAAATTCTAATTAAAATCGTAGAAGTGAAGAAGTGCTTTTTCATCTGCAGCATTATCAGTCTGAGTAGCTGAAAATCATAAAGCAGTCACCAAAAAAAATAATGAGGAATTTTGGCAACCTCAGATGATAAACCAGTAATAAAATAAAGCATTTTTTTTTATTCGGTGCTTTGTTTCCCAGTCTTTAAGCCTCTAGGGTATAACTCACACCACACTACCACATTTTCAAACTCTTTCTCAACACCTACAAATGCTGGAGATTTATTTTTTAAGTGAAAACTGAGATTCTCAGTTAATCACTGACTCCAGCAACTGAGGTGGTAATCAAATATCACTTATCTTGCCCTAAAATGATGAGAATTAGCAATAAGGAAATTGTGAAGGACAACAGTATCTCTCCGCCTGGATGTTGCTTCTGTGCTGTCCCTGCAGAGCAGGACCAGCTCCTCTCAGCAAGAACTGACAAATGTGGACTGAAGCAGGGAGCGAAATGGGAATTCTAGGCCCAAAAGAGCACCTTATAGCCCATGAGGAGCCTTCCCGGGAACACAGCAGACAGACTCCACAGAAGAGCCAGAGAGAAAGATGCAAATAACGCAGTACAATGTCCCCTTGATACCTTATTTTTCCATATGTTATTAATGTGCCTATGCCCAGCTTACGATCGAGACTGACGCTTCCCACCCTGATGCCAAAGACTTGACTGGTCTGTCATTTCCCTGTCCTTGCAGAATCAAGGTCCCATCACTTTTGTCCCCTCAATCTCTTTTACCTTTTCCTCCTGGAGTCCAGTGTAGCTCCTGTTATCACAGAGCCTACATAACATGCAATACCCCAAGAGTTACCACCTTTGCAGAAAAAAACCCATATTTTACACAACTCCACCAAACAGCCACACATCTTCTTTAAGAACTTAACAAGGCGTCTGCCATGTCTATTTATTTATTATGCTTTTACCTCTCTTTCTCCACCATGCCCGAATAATTTTCTCCTGCCCTCTGGATTTCTAAAGTAATTTTGAGTCCCTCTTCTGTATATAGGTCTTCCACCACTATCAACTCCTGGCTTCAAAAAAAGGTAAGTCAATGCCTAAAACACGAACTGACTTTTAAATAACATATTTTCTTGGGGGTGAGGCAATGCCAAGGACATGGTTTACCATTTGTGCTCTTTTTACTTGCCTTCTGGGTTTTAATGCATCTGTTCCCCATACCTCCAAACAGCATGCACCTGAGACAGATTCTGCAGTGGCATAAAGGATCTAGAGTTTGACCCCAGATAGCCATCTAATGAGAAAAAACTCCATGTCCTTTCCCTGATTTTACAAAGTGACCATTAAACATATTTGTCCTTTACAAAAAAAGGAAGTAAAACTAACCTAACGCAAGCAATGAAGAGAAAGCATAAATGTAGGAAGAGGAAAATAAGGTAAAACAATCAGCAGACAACATGAACAGAAGAAATTAGGATAACAACACCCAAAGTAGGCAAACAGACTATTGCATCACTTTGTCCAGATGATCTATCTTTTCCTCCCTTCATCTTCATCTTGTTTTTTCCTTTGTATAGTCTGCAGGACTGTCAGAGTTAGGTCTACACAGTCTTGTCCATTTTTATAGCATTTGCTATTGGCAAAATGTGTTGCTGACGGTCGCTAAGGTAAGCAGCAGTAAATGCTATTTTAAATAGTAAAAACTAAAAAAAGTTACACGGAAAGGATCCAAGGTGAAAAAGGACATCCTACAGCACGTTGTATGCCAAACTAACAGGGGGAGGGAAGGAAGGAAGGACGTATGGCTTGGTGATCAGTTTAGCATCCATATCCTGTCTCCCTTTCCTTCTTTTACTGTGGAAGCAGACTTCCTTTGGATCTGCTCCTACAAACCATCAAACTATTCCCAAAGAGCACAGAGGCATCAACATCAGCTGCATGGCTAAAAAAACAAATCAAGGGGCAAAGGAAACGTGTATTACCTTAGAGAATGGGTAATTTCAAATGCAAAGCCTAAGTACATAAACACTGCAGCAATCTTAATATTTAAATTCTCTCTACTTCTAGTACGAAATGGAAGGGGAGTTACAAGCCAAACCACACAAAATGTGTTTATTTTCTTTAAACATTCAAATTTGGATTTAGTCTATAATGGGATTCATATTAACAAAGATGTTCAAAAGTAGTAATGTAAAACTGTAATCTTACAGGCTGGATAACCACCATCCTTTCAGGCAAAAACAGCGATAAAACTGTAGAGAGTACACACAGAATTAACAGAAATCTTACAGCTGTGTGAGTACAAAATCATTCCAGTATAGAACGTTCTGGATCTTTGTTGGGAATGATCACAGAAAAGTATGCAAGGAGATATACATTCCTAAAAATCATCCAAATGTGAGGTCAAATCGGCACTTCCTGGCAATTCCTTTTTCATTGATATTATTATTTTTAAAAAACTACCTTGAATGTTACTTCCCTTACTACAATTACACTAGTGACTAGTTAAAGAAAACAGGGACCACTGCTGGCAACATTGCTTGAGAGGCTTTCAGCATAGTTACGGTGAGTATACCGTGACTAAGTCACAGAATCACAGAATCACAGAATAGTAGGGGTTGGAAGGGACCTCTGTGGGTCATCTAGTCCAACCC